TCAGCAAGTCCTGGAGCCAACGCTTTCTTCAATGTTATTTTGAGTTTCATATTCGAACACAAGAGACAATTGAAGAGGCACGCAAGAACGCTCATCACCCCGCAGTTATCTTAAACTCATTTGAGCGGTACCGGCAGGTATATGAAGAGCATGGAATTCAGGAAGGAGACATATATAACTTTGATGAAATAGGCTTTCGGATTGGGGTTGGAAAAAGCCAATAGATCCTAACCCTTGATCCGACTTGTTAATCCGATCTGGGAAGCTCCGCGAACTGAGAACTTGTCACTTCCTACGAGACGATAAGTGGAAATGGTACCATTTTACCGCTAATGCTGATTTTGCTAGGGTCCTTGCATATGGAGGATTCGGCAATGAACATGGATCTGGAACATATTGTCTTACTGGCTGTATCCAAATCTGGTTACTTCAATGATGTGCTAGGTTTGGAGTGGCTTCTGAATTTTGATGGGTTTTCTGTACCCCTGAGAGTGAGAGCATATCCACTGCTTTTATTAGATGGTCATGGGTTATATTGTACTTGTGAATTTGTCACTTATTGCAATGAAAAGAAGATTATACCATTCTGCTTACCTACTTGCTTCAGCCACTCAACATCATTGTTTTTCAATCCCTCAAGTATTTCCATGCAGAGGCGATCCATTAGGCAACACAAACGGGCTGCTCAGACTTTAACAAAATTGAGTTCTTATCAGCACTCACTTCAATCCAACAGTATGGTTTTAAGAAGTCAACTATTACCTCCTCATTCCCAAAGACGGGACTCATTTCATACAATCTGCATATTGTTCTCTCTCATTTGCCTGAGCCTGACAACTATTGCCCAAGCCTAACCTACAATTCCCCTACAGCTCCTCCTTCAAGCTATCCAGAAGTAGTTTCCACTCCTCATACAATTCGATCACTCGAGCGTCATGGGAAATACATTCAAAGCCAGGATCCACTATCTCCTACATTCTAGAAGAATTTAAATCAATTCATTACGGGTGGTATCTTACAAGCTCAAGCAGGAGCTCAGGCGTTTAAGGATCTTGAAGTGACACAAGCTGCAGAAAAACCTCTTACAAGTCGTCAAAACCAAAGCCAGAGATCAGTACAAAAGGGGAGGGGGGGGGGTCCTATATGCTCACCAGGCCAGAGCAATTGTTCATAAATTTAAGGAGGACGACATACAGAAGAAGGTTGAGCAGGTGGAATGACAGCTGGAACAAGCGAAAAAGGACGCAAACCGGAACCGTAAAAGGACTTGGAAGCTGATTTTTCAGGAGCTAAAGAGGTTTATCAGGCAGCAGAACCAAAATAGTCGAGTTGTGGGCAGGCATCGTTGACCAATTGTATTTTAAAATTTCTTCTTGTGTAAAATCTGACGTTGAGCCGATTCTGACGTTGAGCTGTTGGGCAGGTCGTAGACGTGCCCTCGATTGCGAGCAATTGAGGGTTGTGGCGGAGCCACAACCTTGGCACGGTTATCGTTCACGGGTTTTAGCCTCGCTAATTTTTGAAGGAACGAGTTTAAATTGCACCCCTTGCGGAGCAGCGCCTCAAGCCACAGCACCGGTATCAACGGATCAAGCATGAGTTGCCATTTCTTTTATCCAACGCCACGCTGCCACTTTCATCACGGCATTCCCCCCTGTAAATATTTATTACTATTGCGGTAGGTTGCAGTCGAGTGGGCATGTGGGTCTACAGTCGCCACTGGCTATAGTGAACGACAAAAACAGAGCCCCTAGCGTTCACTATAGCCAGTTGTTCAGTATAGCGAAGATGACTAAGAGAGCCTTGGTATTGCAATGTGAGGGGTACTAGTGGTAAGAGGATGGTGAGAGCGGGGCAGCAGAATTCTGGCTGATATGTTCCCCATAAATCAGGAGAGCGGGGAGTCCAGCACTTCTATGTCGGTCTCTTTACTATCGGTTACTTCAGATCCATCTATGTCCGAGTCGCTTCCTCCTACTGCTGTTGCCAGCCAAATTAGCCAAAGAGCTGCACGGTTGGATGGTGGCCAGAGTAAGCGGAGACGTGGGTTGACAGTTTTAGAGAAATATGAGATTTGCAAGAAGCGATTAGAGTCAAAGGAGATGGAACGGATGAAGTTAGATGAGTTTGCAAGATTGTTTCCTGGTATTTGACCAAAGAACCCTGTACTCGATAGAATAACTAATAGAGTCGAATTATCTATTCAGATCCTACTACTGGATTGCCGCTTCCGAAGTCAACTCTATCGACTATTTTGAAAAATAGTCAAGAATACCTAAATATCGATATCAAAGCTACGGATAACTGGAAAAAGAAGGCACGGAAGGAGCAGTTTCCAGTACTTGAACGTCATGTTGTCGAGTGGGTCTACCGGGCTCAGTTAGCTAGAGTGATCACAACCGATGATGTTATTCTAGCGGTAGCAAAACGATTTACGGAACAACTATCGAATTCACAACAGGACGAGCCGGCAGAAGATTACTCAGGTTTTGAGTTTTCTATAGGATGGCTAGGGTCATTAAAAAATAGGAATGGTTTAGGACGAGTAAGAACACAAGGAGATTCAATCATTGATAATCCTGAGAGTTTTGGAATTCCTGCCATGCGTGAGAGTATTAAAGAAATACTCAAAGACTTTGCTGTTCGTGATATTTATAATTGTGATGAATTGGTATTACAGTAAGCAATACTTCAAGTGCTATTAGAAATTATTAAACTAATGTGATTTATCTTAGATATAATATGAGACCAGATACAACTATTGGTCAGAAAGGAAAAGTTGTTCGAGGGTCAAAAAAAAAGTAAAACTCGAGTTACAGTTTTTGTAACTGTAAATGCTGATGGATCGGATAAGCGTCGAGCAATATTAGTTAATAAATCCAAATACCCAGTTGCTTTTCGAAAAGCCCGCATAAATCCCGAAAACCTACTGCTTACTTATCGATATAACCGGAAAGCCTGGATGCTCTCTGGGCTTTGGTATGAATATTTACGAAATTTGAACGAAAGTATGAGAATTCAAGGTCGCCGAATTGCTCTCATTACTGACAATGCACCAACCCACCCCCCCCCCTGAGTGCCCTCCGATTGACTATAAGGGACCACCCCCTCCTGTCCTCGATCATATCAAATTGATATACCTTCCACCAAATACCACAGCATGGCTGCAACCTCTAGATGCAGGCATTATTCGATCACTTAAAGCTGGTTACCGCCGCCGCTTCGTTCAGTACATGGTTGATTACTATGAAAAGCATGATGAAGCAGCACCAAAATTGGATGTTTTACAAGTAATCTATATGGTTGCTGAAGCTTGGGACGAGTTGCCTGCAAGTGTAGTCTTTCACTGTTGGCAGAAGGTTGGCCTAGTAGAGTCATTGGACCGTAACCTACACTCCTCCTATGATGACTATTTAAGTCATATCCGTTCAGCAACTCAGGTTTCTATACTGTCCTTACTTGATACAAGCTGCAACTCTGAACAGGTTATGGTATTAGCAGAAGATTTTCTGGACTATGATGAGGAGGCTGGAGATGAGGACGCTCGCCCAGAGGATATCTCTCTTACAGATATAGTTGACTACTTGGACTCAGAAAAGCAAAACACATCGGACTTGGACTCTGACGAAGAAACTCTTCAAATTCCACCTCCCGAACCCATCTCAGTTGCCTTAGCGAATACTTATCTTACTCAAATCACCGATCTCTTGGAACGCTTTCCAGTAGATATTCTAGAAACAACGGGCCAAGCACTTCCAATTCCTATTGCTGTTCGGCAGCTTCGAAAAATACAGCAAGGCTTCCACTCTTACGAAGAGTCAAAGAAAAAGCAAGTAACACTTAATACTTGACTGCAAATTGGATCTACAAAAGGGTCGAGCAAAGAGACCATAGCCTCCTCAGAACTACCTTCCTCACTTATATCAGAACCTGCCCGTCCTACTCCAATTCCAGCCCAGGCCTCCGTGCACCCTACAACCTCCTCGAGTCCTACCCCCTCACCTCCTTCTCAGCTTCTTCGCTTCTCTCCTATTGCTCAAGATCAGTTTCAGACCCCATTTCAAGCATTCCGTTAAGTCCTTTTACTAAAAAAAAAAAATTCTTCTTTTTCTTGTTCCTTATAGCCAAAATCATTTGTATGTAACTGCTTTTTTACTACCCCTGTTCACCCCCTATTCCCCATTCACTACACTATATCGCTTTTTTTCACTATAGCAAACAAAATCCAGTGTGATCCAATTTTTCCTGCTCTTGCCGTTCATTATAGCCAGGAATTCACTATATCCAGGTTCACTATAGCCAGTGGCGACTGTAAGTACAAGTACCGGTACAGTATCACGCACGATACCGGTGCCGGTACCGGTATTATGGCGCCCGTGGAGAGAAAGGGTGAAACCCACCCATCCCCCCATGTCAAGCCTCTTGACTGTTGGGAGAGGGTCAGTGGACTATTCTGGAGCTTGAAATCACTCTGGTATCGTAGTTTCAATCCCCTATTTGCACGCAAGCCGCACTGTGGCAAGGGGGGTTACACTCTTCCCCCCCGCTCGCTTCTGCCACCATGCCTGGCCCCACTGTGTCATATCTTCGGCTGCAGCCCGCGATGTCGAGGAGATTCGGTAACAACAACACCACCAGCACAAAATCTGCCCTTCTCCTTGCCTAGGACTGTATGATGCGGCACAGCACTGTATTATTTGCTTCCCAAGACCTGCACTTCTATCCGACGGCATCAGAAAACAAGACAGGAGTACCGATATCTTAGAAGAGGTCGATTCCACAAGCTCATAGGATCAAACCATGAATGCAGGTTCCACAGTGCAGACAGCTCCAGGGCTGAGCACCCACCACGCCCGGTTTTTGGCCATCTCTCCAGGGAAGGAAGCAGGTGTGACCCTGCCGGTGTCCTGGGAAATCCGCCAGCCCCACCATCCCGGCCTGGCTCCCTCTCAATTAATACCCTCCCACCACCTTTAAATTTCGGTCAACCTTTGTACCCTGGGGGCACAGAATCCACACAAAATAATACCCTTCAATCCACCGCCAGAAAAGTTGTTTCCCGAGCGAACAAAACGCCATCCAGAAAACACTACTGACCGAATATTCCGAGGTGCGGCTTGTCATCCCGGTCTCTCGCCCTCGCGAAACGAGAAGAAAATCATGGCCTACCGCTCCCGAGCAGAGGCCTACGAGCCATATGATGAGAGGGTTTCCGCCTTCAGCAGCCCCTACACCCCTAGCGCCGAATTTTTCCCGAGCCCGGCATCACCAGAACAACCAACGCGGAAGGGTGCGTACACATCCGTCCCTGTTCGCAACATCAGCGAGGCATCCACGATGCACCCGCGGGGGCGAATGGGGACTACCATGGAGGATATACTCGATAGGTCAAAGTCGAGGGAGCAGCAGGTGCTATGGGGGACAAAAATACATTGGTTCATACCGACTGCTATGATGTGCTTGTTGATTGCGGGCATTTTGGGTGCAATGGGGCACCACCTTTTCTATGCTAGCTTGCAGGGTAAACAGGCGGAGGATCAATTAATGAAGGTTCGGTATGGTACCGTTTTGGCATACTTTACCAAGGCATCTCTGGTGGGATCGGTGGTTCTCGCTTATAGGTTCTTGCCCCTCGGCCTTAGCTTTGACTCAAGTCACTAGTATTGACTCTCCGTGGTGACTTTATAGACAGAGGATATGGCATACAATGCGGCGAAAGGCCATAACACTGAAGGGGATAGATCATTTATTCGCTGTTGTGGAGGACCCAACATCTTTTGCCTCAAAGGAGATATACTTCAAGGCCAAACTAGCCACTGCAATGGCAATGGCAACATGGTATGACGCGGAAAAGTATCGCAAAGCGCTGGAGCTAGTACTAACAGTGTCCCACGCAACAGGTTAATCCCCATCGCGTCTATGCTTTCCCCCGCTGCTCTCACGGCGCAACTTACAGAGGTGGTGTCGCCTAATACTACGTGCACCGTCCCAGTCCTCAACTTCACTGCGGAGAATACTGCGAATTGGAGGGAGCCCAAGAAGGGCCGATTCGGACATAGTTTGTCTTTCTTCAACACCACCCCGCCTCCACCCCGAAATGGACCTGTCTGGTTCGATCAGCCCAGTTTTGTGGCCAGAAAGTTACAAGTTCTGGCAACCCTTAGCGGTAAACCAATTCAGATTACTACCCCTTGTTCCAACCACAACTGCACCTGGAAAGCAAGCTTCCAGGCGCCATGGTACAATTGCACCTCAAAAAAGCAAGCCGAAGTGGCCTTGGAAATGCCAAAGTTTATAAACTACACCTTTGACGACCTTGCGCCTGTAGGGAACAAGATCTACTTTGCTGGCTCCGACGCCGAGGAGTACGCTCGACCGCAACCAGGCTACAGCAACGAAACCCTGGATAAACAGGGCACCTTCGAGAATGAGCCGGCAATCTGGTTTGGCTACATCTATCAAACAAAGCGGCTTGCAAATGACTCCGGTGTTGTGCTCCCGCCAAATTCTAAACCCCCAACTGCATGGGAGCGCGAAATACAACGACATGTGATGCGCTGTGAACTTCAGAAGGCAAACTACTCCATCAACTTTTCCTTTGTGAACAACGTGCAGTCCTCCAATGTCTCCGTCTCTGGCGGGAAACCAGTCTTCACGCCGCCCACGGGATCAACTTCCTTCGGGCCGCTCGACCCGGGATATAAAGAATTCCTAGCATATCACTCCCTCGGCCTTCTAGTCCGCCAGGTGGTGCATGGGTACGTTAACAAGACGAATTCAACAGAGCCACCCGTAACTTCTACCACCCTCTCACAGACCCGGCTCCTAAGCCAAGAAACTTCTTTCACAGTGCCAAACTTCAAGGCTGAATTCCAAAAATTTTTCGAAGAAATTGTCGTAACCCTCCTCTCAGAACCCTACTTGGAAATAGGCGCCACCGAAGTTGTACCGTGCAGAATGACCCGCTTCGAGAACATCTTCTTCTACGAAATGCAAGGCCTCTGGATCGGGTACGCCATTTCCGCCGCTATAGCACTCCTGTCCATCATAACGGGCGGTGTCTCAATATACTGGAACGGGATCACTAGCGATACTCTGTTCTCTAAAATTCTCGTCACCACCCGGAACCGCACACTAGACAAACTAGTGAAGCAGTACGAAGGTGTGTGTCTGGGTGGGGACCCATTCCCACGGGAGCTCGAGCAGATGCAGCTACGCTTCGGCGTGATCGACGAACGGGAAACCGATGATGACCGTACCAAGCACGCCGCCTTCGGCACCGTTGAGGAGACGATCCCCATTTTACGCGGAGACTCGTACAAGCGCCTCGCCGCCCAGGGGAGCCATTACCAGAGCAGTCGCTCGTGGACCAGTGGGAGTCCTAGGGCTGAGAGGTTTAGCGAGAGTTTTCAGATGGATACGCGATACGCGGGGCCTATATAAACGGTTTCTCACTTTTACATCGTTATTCTCTTATTACCTTATCTCTTATCTCTTGTCTCTTATCTCCTATATTTTTCTTCTTTATTCTGCGTTTGTTCGATGCATTAGAGCGAAGGTAATTCCATTTTGGGGGGTGTTTGGGACAAATCAAAATGGGGAGTTTTGTTAACGTTTTATTTTCACCTTCATTATATTATGGGGATCAACCGCGCTGCAGAGATCGCGAAATAACCCCCCCCCTCTGTTCATTGGCGTTTGGGTTGTGACGCTTGGAGGAGTAAGTGAAGAATGTAGAGCAATGATCTCCATGTATACCCACAAAAACACATTACTTCAATTTTGACAATGAAACTGATTGGACTCGCTCCAATCTTGACATCTACTTGCCATCGCACATCGCGAAGTGAGGGCTCCTGCTACCGTAAAAACTGTAATAATTGAGTAGGGTGCTAGGAGGTTGAGTTAGGGTGAATGAGTCAGAACTAAGGGAAATTAATGTCTTGGATCTATTTTAGTGTTTTGGGCGGAGTCATGTCAGCTCACTCGGACCCTTGTGTTAACCACTGTTGGATGTGCATTCCATATCGGGTACCAGATGAGGTAAGAGGAGAATCATAGTAAGAGGACAGTCATAGTCATGAAGGATCTGGTAATATGCTCTGTACGTTTGGGGTCATGTTATTAGCGCATATGCTCGCTATAAGTAGAGGGGAATATCCCCCATAGTTGTAAAGTAAATCGAACAATACTTCAACAGGTTATGAGCCCAGATTTGCGCTGTGAAGATATTCTCCTCTCTCTATCAGATATCTGACGATCCCCCTACTGTATTGCTCTATACATTTAACAACAGGATATCTATATTATTCCTCGCTCCCAAAATACGAAATGGTACAAGCAGAAAGGTTCTCAGAGATGACCTAAAGTGAAGCAGATAGTACTTAGCATACGAAGTATGGAAATACTGCCAAGCTTAACAGCTTTAAACACCGTCAATGGGCCTGCCGTATTCAGATATTCCTCCGTGCTGAGAATGCACTTGCAATTGCCCTTGGTGAAGAAAGTGAACCATCAGTTCCGCAAATACAGTATGAGTCTGAGTCGATCATGTATGAAGGCAAGGCCTTAGCTATCATTTACAACTCCTGTACTATAATTACCCAGAAATACGTGGAAGATGTCCAAGGTGCCAAAGCTATGTGGGATATGCTAAAAGAAAAGTTCAATAGTAACAACTTGTATGCAGGCCAACTTGTGGTTTGAAGAAGCTTTGATCAATCTCGAGTCCAGTCTGGACAAACTATTGAGTACTATATCACTCTACTTCAACAGTATTGAAAGACATTAGCTGGAACTGAAAATGCAATCACCGATGAGACCTTTAAGGCTCATCTTCTCTCTACATTAGGTAAGTGCTATGACTACTATGTAGACATTCTGATGGAACAGTAAGATGACCACACTATCAACAGTTTTGTTCAACAACCCCTAGAGTATGAGAAGACACTTCAATCTCAGCAAGAAGAGAGTCTACTGACCAATACTGCAACTGGTACACATAGTGGGCTGACTGCCCGATATGCAAAAAACACAGGAACTTCAAGCTCAGGTATGGTACTCATATCTCGAATTGCCTCCAATAACCGTCATGGAAGAGGAACCTTTCACGGAAGAGGTAACTGAAATTGTCAACCATCCAGAACAAGCTATGAAAGAGGCTGGAGTAGTAGCAGTAGGCCTGCACCAAGGGAACTACTATGTTGGGAGGGTGGAAGAGCTGGCCATTGACAAAGTGAATGTCGCATGGTAAACCAAGCAGGTGGTATAAGATTCCAAGGTAGAGAATGAAGCAGAGGACTCAGAGGTAATCTTGCAGGCTCCAAGAATGCCGGCTATGTCTCAATCACAGCATCAGCTAGATATGCTCCATATGCGAAAAGGGTAACTGCATTGCTAGCCTTATCGGATAGACTCTGGATAGTTGATTGAAGCCCCTCCAACCCTGTTACAAACCAACGGGATGATTTTCTTACCTACCAGTAACTGGACCATCCACAAAATATTTCTCTTGGTAATAATAGCTTGGTATTAGTAATTGGAATTGGAACGATTTGCCTCTACCTACTTGAGCAAGATTTTTATGTTACAATTGAGGCACTCCATATCCCACCAATGTTACTATCACTAATGTCCGTTAGTTGCCTTTGCGCAATAATAAATGTAAGCTTTAGGGAGCTTACCTGTGAAATTTCAAGAAGGAATAGCAATGGTCCTATTGCTTGCTTAGACCGACTTGATACACCAAGTAGTCTTTGGCAAGTGATTGGAGGACCAATGGACAGTGGTTATATAACCAGAGCAAATCTTGCAGCATTGGGATTGGCTGCTTCACCAACTCTAAAAAGGTGGCACCAACGGCTTGCACATTTGAATGTGTCCTCAGTAAAGCTCCTTGTACAAAGCACATGTCATGATGATGATACTGCATTTAGTACCACCTGTCCTGTATGCATTCAGACAAAACAGAAATGCAAGATTGCGCGCCAACCAGTCCAGAGCGCTAGTGAACGCTTTGATTTAGTGCATTCAGATTTATGTGGTCCCATCTTTGTTCTGTCTCATGGAGCTGTGCGATACTTTATTGTATATATTGATGACTACACTGGCTATACATGGGTCTACTTTCTACCAGATAAATCATCAAATACGGTCACCGCTAAAGTACCTAAGCAAAAGTCCTGGTGAAAAAGGCAGGCAAGCAAGGGTGATGCAACCCAACCACAATGGTGGCCAACTTGGATCAAATTCTCCCTATCACATCAACCATGGCACCCAAGACATCACACAAAGAGGTTACTGGAGTTGAGAAAGGCATGATCCTTGCTTTCTTCAAGGGTTTTCAGCAAACTTCAATGGTTACCCAGATTGTTGGCTGTCCATGGTCAACAGTATAAAATTTCCTTGCCTGCTCTCTCCAGTGGGATTCAATTGAAAACCTCCCACATTCTGGTTGACCACCTCTGCTTTTCCAGAGAGCCAAGAGATCATTAGTTCGAGGGGCCAAGCTCCACAGGAATTGGAGTAGGGAGAAATTGCGGTAGATATTGGCTCCTAATGTCTCAGTTTCTACAATAGACTGGGCTCTCAGGGAGAGTGGCATTAAGAAGTGGCTAGCCAAGAAAAGAGCAAAGCTTTCACTGCAGTATGCTCAGGAGAGGCTGGACTGGGCTAAGGCACACGAGAATTGGACTGCAGAGAAGTTTGAAGGTGCTATTTGGACTGATCAATGCTTAGTGGAAAAGAGTAGGAATTCAAAGCAAAAATGGGTATTCAGATCTGCTTCTGAAAAGTGGCATCCAGACTGTGTGAGAGGGATAGGAAAGAGAAAGGGGGTTTCTTGATGGTCTGGGGATGCTTCTGGGGCAGAAACAGGGGAACCTTTGTTCCCTTAGTTGTGAAATTAGTAGACCAGTGGGTCTATCTCCAGCTGCTTGAAACCTGCCTTATTCCAGTTCCGGAGTGAGTCCATGACACCCTTGGTGATCCTATCTTCCAGCAAGACAACTGTATTGTTCATACAGCTCAGACAGTACAAGATTGGTTTGACAAAAATAGGATTGAGTTGGCTGAACACCCTCCTTGTTCACCAGACCTTAATCCCATAGAACATGTCTGGGTTGAGCAGTAGAAAAGGCTTCAGATTCAGTATCCCGACATTTCTTCAACACCTGGTGGTCCTGAGAAGGTCTAGCAGAAGCTAGCTGAGGTATTACCCATAGTATGGGATACAACACCTTCTGAGTTTTTTGAGCACTTGTAGAGGTTAATACCAGAGAGAGTTCAAGTAGTTATTGCAGCAAAGGGGTGGTATACAAGATACTAGGAATACCTTTTTTTATTTTTTATTTCATCAATATGTAAATAGTAGTCTTACATTTTATTTCCTTTAATCTCTTGTCATTTAAAGGATTTGTTGTTGAGTTATTTCAAAATCTCTACTCACACTGGACTGTTATTGCCATGGCCGAGATACACGATTACCAAGACTTTTGCGTAGGTACTTTATATGTTGAATTATAGATCTTGAGCACTGGTCCTACCTGGCCAAGTGTATGTATTTGTAGATATTATACTGAAAAGTATAATTAGTACAAGGGGCTCTGATAGTAGTAGAGAGATTAACTACTACGGGATACATATCTGATTCATGAACCATAATATGAGAGGCCTAATCTGTGATAAATTTGTTGAAGATCTATTGCTAAGCTGGAACTATGACAATATCTATGTACTGCCAAATCAGATTTTTATGAACAATCTAGGCCGTATGAGGTTCTTGCATTCTACTTGTAATAGAGTAATAAGAGTACAGGTTTCTCATCACAATTTAAAAAATAATATAACCCATAATGCCAGCAAAAATAAAACGATTTATTAACTAGCATGCAAGATAGTAGCCATCCAAACTCAGGATTCAACAGGTCTCAGTATCTGAACTTGTAACGGACAGGGTCTGAGGGTCGGGTAGCCCAAGGCACACCACGATCAGGACAGGCAGGACACAGGAGACGAGGTCTAGGCGCGGGGGTACAACCTAAGCGAGTTGTACGAGGTTCGAGGTTCAGGGGTTCAAGGTCAGGGTTCAGAGGTTCAAGAGGACGCCAGATAGTAGAGGGTGTAATTCCGAGGTACAGGTGTCCAAATAGTATCTAAGTTTATTTATACTCGTCGCACCAAAACATGGCTTATGATCGAGCGTCCCCCCGACAGGAGCTTAACACCGGTCGGGATCCACCCCTGGGACTAGGGCCCTGCTACCCCCGCTAAATACAGGCAACTAAATACAAGATACCGATCCTCTGGCCCCATACCGTTAACCACTCCAGTCAGCGAGTACCAACACGAAAGTTAAAGTGCAAGTCCATCAACAGTTCAGCACCCATCCGCTCCACCTATCCAGGCCACGGAAATCCCAGCACAATTAATAAATCACTACCACCGGCAGCATTGCTCCGATCTCGTGCCTCTTATCCTCATAAAATTCATAACAAAATAAATCCACCATCATCAACCCCACCCGGCATCCAAGAAAGCGTTCCCGCACTGTCCCACAAAGGGGCCATGACAAAGGGGCGGTACAAAGCCAATCTCCCCTAAGCAATCAGTTGAGGCAGGGATAAAGCCCACCCCTGGTACCGTAATAGCCAACCCAAGACACCCCTAGGGCAATATCCTTATAAGTATCCCAACCTATGTCAAGCCAACCATGTCCACCTCTTCATCATGTTCCTCCGAAACCTCAGATTCTTGGGTATCTGGACAGGGGCGAGAAGGGCAGACAGGCGAGTGGGATTCGTGTGGGCCATCACAGTTCACAAACTTGGGTGTGGTATGGCTGCAGGGACGGCCACGAAGGCGG